TGCATCTTTCTTGTGTATACAGATAAACATTGCTGAATGTTGGGAAAGCATTAAGTGTGAAGTTGCTGAGCGGAAGAAGAGGACATTGGAAGTGTTCATTCAGGGGCGCCTGGGTGTCTCAGTCGGTTGAGCATGTGACTCTTCGTTTCGCCTCAGGTCATGATCTCAAGGTTCATGAGATTAAGCCCCATGTCGTCGCGCTCTGCGCTCAGCAGGGGTCTGCTTGGATATTCTCTCTCCCTCTGCCCCTTCCCCTGCTCTAGCGTGCACTCTCTGTCTCTCTCAAAAATAAATAAATCAATCTTTTTTTTTTTAAAGAAGTGTTCATTCACTGACAGGGCTGGCACCACAGTTATGCCAGCAAGAAATGTCTTATTAGACCAGTTCTATGAAAAAGATGGTTCAAAAGATGGACTTGTTCATCTGAGGTTTCATGTCATTTAGAATGTAATAACTGGATGAGTGAATAGGGGCTTCTGACAGAAGTGGGCAGGGGTGGGGAGTTGCTAATAATCAATCAAGAACTTCCCTGGCTTCCTTTGCATTCAATATTCAAACACCAAATGCCAGTTTTGGACTATCTAGGTTTTTTTAATTTGTCTTTATTACTCTTTTGGTCTTCTGATGATTTCTTCTTCCTTTCTTCTCACAAGTTTTTAGTAAATGCACATTTTCCGCATAGAACAATACTATTGTCTGGTGACTGTCAAAAACAAACATTGTAAAAGCCTGTTTAGTGTGAGCACAAGCAAAATCTAGATTCTTTGCATACATTTAATAAAAAAGAGTTATGTTTTCTCAATATATTTAAAAATGTGAATACGAGCATCATGAGAAAACTTTCTATATTATAGCTAAAGAAATAAAACAAGGAAACAAAACATCTGCATAAGGCTGGCAATTACACCTTCACAGAGAGTTTCTCTTCCCAAGGGTTTTAATGTTGGCACCGAGTTTATATATCATGACTTCTGGCTTAACATAAATTTACTCATATACGGATTTTAGAAATCAAACCTTAAGGAATTTCAAGAAGGAAATTTGCAAGTCCTTTAAAATATTATTGATATTTTCATGGCTGGGAGCCAAGGCTGAGATGGGTTCTAGATGGGTAGAGAAGGGTAGAGATACTGAAGTGTCCACTGGAAGGGCAGTTAGCTTCCACGTAAGAGCTGACTGAATAAAGATACATCCAGAGATATTTCAGGACTTTCCAAAGTAAATAGACAGGAGAAGTGGAGACATATGTAGCTTATGACATAATTCAGAATGTGTGAGATTGTGGAAGTTTGAGGGAAATACTGATTCACATTCTCTAAGACTATCTGGTTGAGTGGTTGAACTGTGCCTTGCAACCGTATCCAAGTACTGAGTTAAGTTTTACAATCAGAGGGTTTTGTAGTTATGGTTACATGGCCAGGTCAGGCCATTCCATTTTCCCATAAACTGCTGTTCGAGGAATAGCACTGTGTTTTCTGATATAATAGCATATGTGAGCTATAAAAGCCTAGATCAGCAACATTTTCAGCTCAGGAAAAGTAAGTTCCAGGGATATTTAATGATTGGTTCAAAGTTATAAGTTAGCCATAAAGCTGTTTAGGTTTTAGGTCAAAACAAGTTGCATTTCCCTAAAGTAACTGAACCTCCATTTTGTTCATTTCTAAAATGAAGATATCTCTGATTTGGTTTAGTGATAGTCTAATCAGATAAACATTAACTTACTGAAAGTTCATCTACAATATGGCTAGCATTGTGGAAATTTCTTTTGAATATGAAATAAATGTATCACAGAGTCCTGATTTAATAAATTTCAGCTTTGACTTTTGTTGGAAGACCTTTACCCGTGATACAAAGGTGGGGTTGGCTAGGGCAGAACTTCTGCAATATTTTAGTCTTACCCTCTCTTAAAGACCTCAAAGTGCTTTGGCTTATATGGCCATATTCAGTCAATCCTTATTATATTAGACATTCAAGCTGATAACATTTTATTTTTTTAATTTTTTAAAAAGATTTTATTTATTTATTTGACAGAGAGAGACACAGTGAGAACAAGAACACAGCAGGGGGAGTGGGACATGGAGAAGCAGGCTTCCTGCCAAGCAGGGAGCCCGATGCGGGGCTCGATCCCAGGACCCTGGGATCGTGACCTGAGTGAAAAGCAGACGCTTAACGACTGAGCCACCCAGGCGCCCCAAGCTGATAACACTTTAAATAGCTATTTGTTAATTCATAGAAAAAGTGTACTGTGTTAACATAAAAACATATGTTAAAAGGCATTTATTGATACTAAAATATTAATAAATATTAAAATAATTAGAAGAATTACATTGTTTTAATTTCTGGAAATCTATTCAGTGTCTGGCTTATTAGAAGACAACTAGATTCTCACATCTACTTCATTAAATGCATTACAATGTTTTCTTATGGTTGAAGTAAATGAAGAAAATTCAACTTCACAGAGATATGTAGTTGAAAAAGGGAAGAATATTTTCATAGCCTTTTCAGATGGATATACTACTTCAAATCTCAAAAAGTGATAGTTTCTTAAAGGTATTTTGCAATGAGGAATGGTGAAACTATATCAATGAAGTTTTTGTATTCTGTTCATTAACATCTGTCTATGGCTCTTTCACCCACGTATGATTCCTTAAGGTCATGCATTACTCTTTGACAGCTATTGGATCACCAGTAACACAGATCTTCCAAATGCTGACCCATTTCATTATTGAACATCAAAAATCACAGTTGTCCATTTAATCAATAGTCACATTTAAAAATGCTTTAAGTATTGCAAAGTTGTCAGATACACAGTGATGGATATGATTTTCTTTGCTTGAAGCTTGAATTTGATCATTGGCAGCAAATATTGTCAGTTGTTTTCTTTAAAGTCAACAGATTCACTATGTTCATTCTGCAGAAAAGATATGTACTCAAAATTTTAGATTTTGAAAAAATAGCACTTTTTCATCAAGGAGATTTTTAAGTAAAATAGTTCTCTACCCCCACGAATGCATGGGCATGAATTATACAATAAATACCAATGGCTGTGGTTTGGTGCCATGGTCTTGAATCCTGCTAAAGCATCAGCAGTTTATTTACTGTTGCTTTTGCACCGTCAATGCAAATGTCAACACAGATGTTCCAGCATAACTCATAACATTCAGAAGTTTTCCAGTAATTTGAACATTTCAGCACAACTCGCAGTTGTTGCCAAGCATTCACACAGAAGAAGGTCGTTGGTGATTGGCTCATGCTGACACTGAATGAACTCAAGCGAAAGAAGCAAGCTCAACCATGTCTGTACATCTATTTCTTACACAAAAGTAAAATTCTGTAGACAAGATATTAAGTTTTTCTTCTTGTTTAAAGCTAAAACTTTAAATCAACAAGTTGCTGTGAGGCTGGAAAGCAGGAGAGTCCTGTTTTTGTTTTTTTTCCCTGACTCTCCATCCAGTAGACATCAAGCAATGGCAACTGCACACTGTTAGTCTGTCATCTCTTGTGTGTGCTTCTCCAGCCAATGCAGGACGGTAACTTACTTTGTAAGATGCGTCAGTGACTTTATCAATTTCAGTTTCAAAAGTGTAATAAAAGATTTTTAGCTTTTGAAGAGCTGATTATGCCTACATTTAAAATATCTAATACTTTTTAAACAACTATTTACTCAAAATAATGTTGCAATCAAACTGTCACTATAAAATTACTAGAAAATATTTTTTGCCTAAATTGCAATAAAACAAATTATTAACATCTATAAAACTGAAGGAATGATAGCTTTTGTCATATTTTCATTTCTTATGGACAGCTTTCCCTTCTTATTGGGAGTAGATTTCTCCTTTTCATGAGTAAGAGACCTCTTTGGAATATTAGTGTCATGCTTTTCTCCAGCTTTAGAAACAGACAGTGTAAGGATGGTGGAGAAAGCGAGGCTGTCAGTCTCCTCCATCTCCGACAAATGTCTCCCCTGCACAGGAAGAAGAATATATTACAGATATATTTCTTTTATTTCAGGGAAAATATTACTGAATTTCATAATATTCATATTTAGATAAAATTTTTAAAATTAGAAAAAAATTTAAAATGCTTTTACATATACATATAGTCATAAAATAAGACAGAAATATGTCCTAAATTCTATTTGTGCTTTTATGTATGTCTGAGACATAATTCTAGATTTCATAATAACAATGTCTTGGACAAAAATGAGGTTACAGAGATTAGAGCAGGGAAAATTGAAGCAAGCCAGTAAATGTCCAGTAAAATTATTGAGAATAAACTGGATTAATCTCTGAAAATGTGTATCATTTATACCCTAAATCCACTACCTTAGAATATTATTGGAAACACAAGCAAATATTTTAGTAACCATAATAGTGATGATGTCATCAAATAGCATGTAGGATCTGGAAACACTGTCATACATTTTCATTTAGGAGCTGAAGCTAATGGGATCTTCTGTGGTGGACCATGGAAGAGAGGAAGAGGGAGTGGAGAATTGTTTCAAGTAGTTTTTATGAGCTCAGCCTTCAAGTGAAGTTCAGCCATTTTGTCCACATTTCACTGGGCAGAACTTGGCCACACAGTGACCCACACCCGTCAGGGAGGGTGGAGGACGTGTTCAGCTGGTGCCCAGAAAGAAAGAGACTTGGGTTTGATTTATTAGGGATTAGTCCCTAATATATCATCTAATTTGATAATTTACTGTGGGAGCCTCTGAATTGGAAAGGTATAGTTGTATGTGTTGCAAATACGTCAACAGTTTAAGAAAATCAACGTGGTATAAAGTAACTGTATTTTTTATATACACAGAGAAATATGTTAAATTCAATAATATTTATGGTGCTCCCACTATGTGCAAGTGGTATTCTAGGTTTTGGGGCGAGGGGAGCAGTAGACAAAGTCCCTTATAGAATGTGCTTCCTTATAGTGTGGTGGGAGTCGATGGCCAATAGGAAAGTAAACCAATAGGAAAACAAGAGTGGATTTTGATAAAAGAAACCATGAAGGAAGAAAAGAAAGTGAGAGGTAGTGTTACTTTATAGAGGCTCATGCAGGAAGGTCTTTTTGAGAAGACCGTACTCCAGGCATGAGCTGAAGAAGGAGTAAGATCCAGCCATGCAAAGACCTGTGGGGAGGGCAGCGCAGATGGAGTGACAAGTTCTGAGCGCTGAGGGGGCAGCCTCACATGGGGGAGGACCAGGAAGGCTCTGCTTGTTTTGAGAGGAGACAGAAAATTCGGGAGCCTGTGGTATGTTGGGCCAGGGGGTCAGGGGCAAGAACACACAGAGAATTACAGGCTTTAAAAAGAGCTGTGGTTTTATTCAACCAGCAATGAAAGCCAGGTGAGTAATACGATTTGATTTATATTTTTAAAAGTTTTTTAGGGTTGCTTAGTGGAGAATAGCTTTGGGGAGATCTAAAGTAGAAGGTGGCTACTATCTCCATCTACTCCATCTTCACTGTGATGCTGCGTAATCACTTCTGTCATTGCCCCTGAACAACCTGGGGCAAAAAAAAAAAAAACAATTTTAGCATTCTTAAATCCAGTGTAAGCTGCTTTTAAAAAAATTATTGTGTTGTTTATTTTCTATTTTGCGGGTCATTGCGACCATGATATTACTGGTGGCTTATTCAAATGGGAGTGCAGAAACAATTTTTCCTCAAGTTTTTTTCTCCCTCCCTCCCCTCCTTTTCTTAACCATCAGTGCTCTCACCATTAATACAAAGACAAAAATAAATTTTCAACTCCCAGAACTGGCATTTCTCTCAACATTGTGTAGCACGAGTTATAAAAATGACAAATGTTAGCCTTGAAACCAGAAAATGAAATACCAACTACGTCTGCAAGAATCATAGGAACAGCCATGCCAGGCTGAAACACTCAAATCTATAATGACTATTATTAAACGTTATGCAAAATAGTGAAAGGGACATAATGAATAATAAAGAATCTGGATAACTGAGGTGGGCAAGCTTGATGTAAAAGTAAGGGAAAATATTGGGTCTCTTCAATACCAATAAAACTACTTAGTGGTGACAACCAATCTGCGTAATTCTGTACAAAACATAGTTCTTTTATTGCGCGCAGTAGGTATTAAATACACATTTTTTGAGGGGCACCTGGGTAGCTCAGTCGGTTAAGCGTCTGACTCTTGATTTCTCTTCAGGGGTCGTGATATGAAGCCCCATGTTGGGCTCCATGCTCAGCAGGGAGTCTGCTTGAGATTCTCTCTCTCTCAAATAAATTATATATATATATATATACAAATATCACACATTTTTTTGAAAGAATAACCAAATATCCATTAATTTAGATGAAGGCAAAAACATCTACTTGGGGTATCCTGATCTAAATTAACTATGTTGTTCTCATTTCTGCATCTTTCATGGAAATTGCACCAGGTATTTCCTCCTCCTTCTTTCCCTCACTCTTTATCCTTTCTTTCCTTCCTCCATTCTTTCCTTCCTTCCTTTCTTCATTCCTTCCTTTCTTCCTTCCCCCCTTCCTCCCTCCCTCCCTCTCTCCTCCCCTCTCTCCCTTCCTTCCTTCCTTCTGAAAGGTAAAAGAACTGTTTTCAAAATAATTACACAAAGGAATTTGGGGGTGCCTGGGTGGCTCAGTCGTTAAGCGTCTGCCTTCGGCTCTGGTCATGATCTCAGGGTCCTGGGATTGAGCCCCACATCGGGCTCCTTGCTCCGCAGGAGGCCTGCTTCTCCCTCTCCCACTCCCCCCTGCTTGTGTTCCCTCTCTCCCTGTGTCTCTTTGTCAAATAAATAAATAAAATCTTAAAAAAAAATTATACAAAGGATTTGTATCTTGATTCAATATATTACCACATTATAATTGTGTTCTATAATAAAGTGAGTCTAAATAGTTGACCTAACTAAATGGTAGCCTGGCTGATCCAGGCCTTTCAATTTCAGTGTATCAGTACACATTACTGTTGAAGAAAATGAGGGAAAAAAAAAAAACTGTAATGAAAATAAGTACAGTGATACAGTCAGCCTGAAGCCACAGGCTTAGCGTCTCCAGGCACACAGACATATAAAGGAGCATACTTGGATACACACCAACATCTACGCACACACAGTCTTGATATCCATTAATAATTGCCTCCTGAGAGTGCTACCCTTTCATATTTCAGCCCTAGACTCTTGTTGAGCAGTGTCTCTCAATGTATTTCTAACTTTATAAGGTTTTTAATTTATAGCCAATACCTTAGTAGTAAAAAGAAATTGTTGCACATTTACCTTTTAAATTGGATGCCAGGTGTCTCCAAGAAAAATCATAACCATTAATGCCTTTATCCATAAGTGAAAGAAAATCCAATTCAAAGTAACTGAAATTATAAGGACGTACATTGTTTCAAAAAGCAAAAGGGGGAGGAAGTGTGACTACAGGGTAGTTGAATATAGTGTCCCAGTGATGTTTGTAAGGATTCGCGTTCTACAGGTTTCTATTCTGCTCACCCTTGAGAGTTAGCATCTCCTCACATTAGCACCTGTCAGCATCATAAGCTGACCACTGTGCACAATCCCAAAGGGACCCCATACAAACCAGATCACAGTGTGAGCCAGAACACTATATATGTCTTATTTCTTTTTGTTTTTGAAGAAAACTTTCTCAGAAGTCTTCCAACCGGCTAACCATTACATTTCACTGGCTGCATACCTATCTCAAAGTCAGTTTCAGGAAGTGGAAGCAAGCCCAGCATTTTGGCTTCTAACACTCAGGACGCTTCCGAGGCTCATGATAAATCAAGCTTCCCCCAAGTACGTGAGCAGAGAAGGACACATACCTGGACCTGGGGTGGGGTGAGGGGAAAGCCAGGGAGGGAGCTGGCGTTGAGAGGACACCGCCAATACTGAGGAATACTTTGGAAGCTAGCATGGAATAAAAAGTTAAGGAAAAAGGTCTGCTGGAAATAGGATAGTGCATTCTGCTGGGGGAAAGAGGCCCTCGGTTTCACAGCTGAAATTTGTACTTTCAGTTTTTCAGTGGCACAGAAAATGATGTTTCAACAATTCACAGAATCTGTTAAATCAGACAAAATGATTATACATGTCATAGAAGGAAATATACTCAAAACTTGACTTACCTATGGATACATTTTACAAAACCATCTAGTGTCCGATTATGGATTTAGGGATGAGTAATATTTTTATTTGATGCCCAGATGAAGAATGGCATTGGAAGGTTTTTAAAAATGGCTTCTTTTGTAGTGATAAAAACGCTGTGGTAATAATTCTGTTTTATAAATTAACATTTCCGTCTTAACATTATCATACAGTTTTTTATTTAACCACTTAATTTCCCTTAATATATTTTTTGGCAGATTCCTGAATAATTTAATGGTATATTACTCACCATCATTTTAAGGAATAAATGCAGAATAAGACTAATTATCTTTTTCTCGATTTTTAAGATCCCGACTTTAAGGACCTTGGAGTTTTGAAACCGTTACCAGGTTGGTAAAATAGATACTCAGTAATGTTCAGAGGTCTTTGTTTTCTGCTCTGAAATACACTTTTGGTTTATTATTCAAGCTCCATTTTTGTATGTTTGTTTGGCATTTTGTTATTTAGCATGTGAGTTTGAGATGGGCGGTCCTGAAGGAATTGTGGAATCTATACAAATTATGAAAGAAGGCAAAGCTTCTGCTAGCGAGGCTGTGGATTGCAAGTGGTACATCCGGGCACCTCCACGATCCAAGGTCAGTCTCAAGGTGAAAACAGATTTGCAAACAGTCAGCTCGGGAAGTGTCTGGAGCATGCACTGCTTTGAACCAACTGGACATGCTAAGTGGGTTTCAGATTGCAATCACAAGCTATCATTTTATTTTGGTTTGAAATGCAACTTGTCTTGCCCCAACCAAGGAAACTTTTGATGTTGTAAATAATATAGACAGGGTGTTTGAAGAGATCATTTGATCATCTGGACAAGAGACCCTAATGTGACTCTCCCCCCACCCCCGAACCTTCAGGAAAATGGACTGAAATGCTATATCTAAGCTATGGGTCTAAGTATAATCACACTTATGCCCTTCCTGTCAGTATCTGTAGTTTGCTCACTTTTCAACCTAATGTTGTATCTTTGGAAGAAATTGTCCAGGCCTTGCAAAAGCACATATCTCTGGCATATAAAATATCTTATGATGAGGCTCGGGGACAGTGGCAAACAGGACCCGGGAGAGCCTGGCCCATGCAAAGAAGTCAGCCAGGTGTCCACTGCCTCTTAAGCTCCTTTTTATTGTCGTTATGAAAAAGTATTGGTCTAACATTACCAAGTCCTCCAATTTTCTCATAACATGGAAGAAGTCAGGATTTTATGTTGATCACCTTGGCTTTTAAATACTGGCAATACATTTTTTAGGTTGTATATTTACATGCTATTAAACTAAATATATTATGGGTCAGATTCAGAGTCAGACCACTATTTTGGAAATACTTCCTTAGAACAACCATATTTATCCTCTTACTGAAATTTTAAGAAATACTGGGGATAACTTTGTGTCAGTGACTATCATAGGTGGGGAGTGTTATTTGCTAGTCCCCCTTCCTTTATTGTCGCTCCTCAGTTATATAGTTTCAACCAAGCCTTATTGATTTATTAGGTTTGTCATTGACTTTATTGAGGTTGAAACAGTTTGTTATTTAATCAATAGATTTAGTGGCTCTGTAAAGTCTCAAGCATCATGTTGGAGAGATGAAGAAAGCATGCCGGCCCCTGTCCTCACGCTTCCTGTTTAATTCTTAGACAAATTTGTAACCAAATAATCCAAGGAATGAGCCATGATCACTGAGGTATTCCTAAGGTGTAGTAGAGAGAGGGAGAAGTCGCATACACCTGCGAAGGTAAGTCAAATGTGGAATCAAATTCAGCCAGGGTGTCCACTGAATCTTAATGAGAAACAGCATTGTGTCAGGTAGACCAGGGAAGGGCTCTCCAGGTAGAGGGAATAGCATCAGGGTCATAGAATCAGAAAACAGTGAGCTTTTTTAGGAAATATGTAATTGAATGTGACCAAATAAAAGCATGGAGGCAAATAAAAGTATGGAGGTGGATGATGAGTCTTTGAGCCAAAGGGACCTAAAGAACCTGGATTCATTCTGGTAGCAGTGATACATGGAAGAGTGTGCAGCAGGAAAATGTGATCAGCTTTGCATTCTGGAAAAAAAGTTTTTCCCTGGGATGTAGGGACAGAGGCATGAACACCACGAGCAGAAGACTCGGGAGGAAGATGTGGCAATGAGCCCCATGGTTGAGGCTAGCTTATGATGGTAGACAGACCAAAGAAAGATTCAAGATCGATAGAGGAGATTTTGGTGGCTGGATATTCAGAACGGGGGGAAAAATAGAGTCATCTTTGAGGAGGCTGGCATTTCAGGAAGTGTGTTAGCTTTCCTCACTTGATTTTCCCAGGAATCTGTCTCTGGGTCTGCATACAATTTGGAAGTGCGGCACGCTTTGCCCAGACTTGCAGTCACAGGCATTCAGAGCCATGCTCCGTCTTCCAGCTTTGCCCCTGGCGGGCCTCTTTGCATCTGTGCAAATCTTTGAAAACTTTTATTGTATTATCAAGAAAGACCAAGTGATTCCTCCTTTAAAAAAAAAATCAAAGGCTGTTCGTGACATAAAAGCCCACGCACTCCTTGGATTATAAAGAAGCTAGATTGCAGTTTATTATTCTCTCTTACGTAATCTGTGGGTTCACAGGCAAGTGCTATTCATTTTTCTTAAACTCTATGAATGAAAGATTAGAAAAAAATTCTCCAGCTGGAAACATTTGAGCCCCACCTCATTGCTGTAAGCAGCATCTTTCACAGCAGTGATAAAGAGAAGGTTTTTATGGGAGCGTAAACACACGTCGTTTTTTTTTCCCCCAGCTGGTAAATAGGCTGTCTTTTGTACAATTCCAGAGCAACAATATCCAGTGTACCTGTCTGTTACAGAATTTGGCATTCTGTGACCCAAAGGGGAAGCCGCCTGCAGAGCTGGACAAAGATGACTCTATTGTGACAAGCTTTCTCTGTTAAATTAAAGGTTAGAGGATAGGAAGTGGCTTTGAATAACTGTGGAGAAAAGCAAGAACTGGATACGACTGCCTATGTGAGCTTTCTATTTTTGTGGAGTTCCTAGCAGCTTATGAGAATAGACTATCAAAGCCCAAGTTAAACTCGAAGGGGCTCGTGGTGAATATTTGAATGATAACTGGGAATTGAAACGTTGCACAATGCAGGTAATAAAAAGTTTCCTGGAGTTCTATTAAAATTTATGTCAAGTATATATTGCTTCTCAGGCTTTTTGACAAATAGAAAACAGCCATACAGATGATCACCTTTAATTAGAATGTGATTAGTCCAGATTTCTTAGACTTTGGCATACCAGAGCCAGAGAGAACATTGGAAATCTGTTCCTGATTATCTCATTTAACAGATGAATAAGCTGAGACATGATAATGAAGTCTTATACGGGCTAACAATGGACTATAGAGATCCCTTTGTATAGACTCTAGAGCGAGGATGGTGGAAGGGTGTTATGGTGTCTTGTCCTGGATCTGGTACAGAAGAGAACCAACAGAAAAGAATGTTGGGTGATCAAATCATGGTAACTATTTGAATGTTAATTCCATGAAAGCTGGGGCTTATGTATCTCTAGGTACTCAGCACCAAGCAAAATGTCTGTCATTCAGTTAAAACTCATGGAATAAAAAACAAACTTATGTATATCTAGAAAAATGGACATGGTGGCAATCTTCAGACATTGGAAGGACTGTCATATGACAGGAAAGAATGATAAGGCTTAATCTGCATGGTTTCAAGTACTAGAATTTATTCAAATGCTTGAAACTAGAAAAAATATAGCTTTTGATTCGATATAAGGAAGGTTTGGCTTTTGCTTTAATAATGGAGCTGCCCAAAAATCAAATAAGATTCCATAGGAGGAATCCAAATAAAGTTTGGCAGAGATTTGGTACAATAATTTAAGTCAGGTAATTCTTCGGCATAGGTAAGATGAAACTCCCCTCAAGACCAAAACTTGATGAGTCTATGATAAGTGACTGCCCAAGTATTTGGTTTGTTGGTACAGAGCTAAGGCCAGATTTCCATCTCCTGACTCCCAGTCCAGTGTGATGTCACAAAACCACACTATTTGAGGAAATTCTCAAATTTGTTAAGATAGGAAAAGAGATAAGTCAAAGACTTATAAAAGTACACAAATGAAGATGATTAACTTAATGATTAAGGTGTTGGGACAATAAAACTCTAGCTTTTAGTAATTACCCATCATTTAAAACTTCACATTAATTTTTAATGTGCTGTTACTTGATTCAAAAATGTTTTGAATAATATTAGTATTAAATAAACAGGGAAAACTTGACAAATATAGTAAGTCAATATTTTATCGTGAAGTTGTTTTTTTTATTTTGTATTTTTTAAAGATTTTATTTATTTGACAGAGAGACACAGCGAGAGGAACACAAGCAGGGGGAGGGGGAGAGGGAGAAGCAGGCTTCCCACCAAGCAGGGAGCCCTATGTGGGACTCGATCCCAGGACCCTGGGATCATGACCTGAGTAAAAGGCAGACGCTTAACGACTGAGCCACCCAGGCGCCCCTCATGAAGTTGTTTTAAAGTAAATTGTATGATGAACTTAATTGTAGGCAGAATCTTAAAGATGACACCCAAGATTTCCAGCCCAATCAGTGAGACTGTGAATATAAAATATCACATACCTGGTTATGTTAAATTACCTGGCAAAGGGGATTTTGCTGATGCAGTTACGGTTACCAATCAGTTGGCTCTGGGTTAATTAAAAGAGAATTTATCCAGGTGAGTCTATTCTCATCACACGAGCCCCTTAAAAGCTGGATTTTCTCTGGCTGTAGGCAAAAGGGGAAGTCAGAGGAACTAAGAACGTTTTCTAGGAGCCAAAAGTGATCCCTGGTAAATGGGCATCAAGAAAACAGGGACCTTGATCCTAGAATTGCCATTCAATAGAATTGCCAGAGAATATAATCCAGCCCACAGTTACTTCTACCCTACAGAACTCGGAGATACTGAATGGGTCTTGTTTAAAGCTGCTCTATTTCTGGGAACTTGTTATGGAGCAAGGAGAAAACTAACACAGCAGATGAAGGGTAGTAACTGTATTCCATTACAATGATACGTTTTAGGGTTCTAAAGACTGAGTCTGCCTTTATTATCTCCAAAAATGAAAATAAAAATTGGGTAAACAAAATGGAAATTTTAACTGGCTAGATAACCACCAATAAACATCTCACGATCCAACTTTGTTTTTAACTGAAATCTCAGTTTTGTATGATCAGATTTTGGAGATGGAGTGTTTTGATACTTGCTTATGCATGCCAGAAAATCATTTTAATATTCCCATCAGGATTTGTTATAGGGTGTCATTTCAACATTTTAGAAAAGAGTATGATGTTGTGGTTTTCTCCTCTGAATAAAGGGGATGCTGCTACTAGCCTCCAGGTTCATGGGATATCATACCTAAAATTATAAGGCCTGGCAGGTCCAGTCACAAATCAAACAGCAAGCATGAAGTTCTGGGCTACATGCTTTTTAGAATGTGGCCTTATTTATCAAAGTAGAAAGTATTGAAACCACGGACAGCGTATCTAAAGCTATGGTATGTATTTAATTTGTACTTTCATGGAGAAAACTGTTCTGGCAAGTCTTAAATAATTGCTCCAAACAATGTCTGTTTTCTGCATCTCATTGTGACACGAGGGGAGGGACCAGGCTGAAAGGTTGGTATTAAATGTTTGTTTGTAAATATATTACTTAGTAAATTGTTAACTAGATTTACTTACTTTAAGTACTCAAAAGGGATTCTGCTCTCCATATGAGTGTGATTTGGAAGACAGATATTACTAGAAATTGCTTATGTGTTCTGAGGCATCTCTGGGCCTATTCAATAAATCATTTTGTCAGCTCAAACTCTGTGATTGATTAGAAAGAAGAATGCATCAAAATGATTCACTGAGAGGAGATTGTAATCTGACTATTTTACTGGAGTTATATATGATTCTGTTTATCATTTTCCCTTTTTCTCAGCAGAGAGACTAAAGAGCTTTCTGTAGTTTTCCACCTTAAATAAAACCCATGTCATGTGGTGTTTCCCCCTTGGTGATCTTATGGCACAAGATTTAAGCTGTGCCAGATATCATTTAAATCCTAATATAAGGAAGGCTTTTATATGATGTATCCTAGAGACAGTGTGGGGAAGCTTGATCCCTTTTCCGGCCAATGACAGTTGGTTTTTGCACCAACAGCTCTGCACCCAGTAAACCTAATATCCACTGGCATATTTTATTTCTTTACTTAAATGATTTTTCAAAAATGAAGTTAAAAAAATAATAGAATGCCTCAGAAGTGGAATATATAAAATCTAGTGACTAATTGTTCACTTCCTCTATAAATAGTGTCCTGTCTACTAAGAATGGCCTTTAAATATAGAAGGTGCTTAGACTGCTGTCATTGAACTTCATGTGAGAATACCAATCAGTCACCTCGTATGGAAAATGTGGACACTCTCTGGAGCTGTCAAATGAGAAACCATGGGCTGAATATGCAAATTGCCTTTCTAACTATAGCAGTGCTCTTCTATAAAACAAACTTCTTTCTAAGAAAATTTAAGACACCGATTTATTTCAGAGGGACACATTGATTTTCCACGAATCTCATTTTTATCTGGATTGTCAACATGTTTCCTCGCCCCTCTAGGAAAATCAAAACAGTTTGGCTTTTTGCTGGCTTATTCATTTATTTTGTTGCAGTTTGTTTTCCTTAAGATTATAACTTTCTTTCTGGAATATAAGTCTGTCAGAATTAAAAAAAAAAATTATAGGAGTCTGCACAGTGCTGTACGAGGGAGCAAACTGGCAGGTGGATCCGAGTTCAATACTGATCTGTCGCCTAAGGGCCAGGGTCATCTTGAAAAAGTTACTTAGTTTTTCCCAATCTCAGCCTTTTTCATTTTAAAATGGTTATAACAAGTGTCTATTGTTGTTGAGAGATTGGAGTGAAATCATGTGTTAGCACAATGTCTTAAGTTATTGCCAGTATGGGATGCAGATAATAAATTAGCATTTTAAGCTGGCTTTCTAAGTGGGCAGGCACATTAGGCCACTGACTCACTCAACCTGGAAACATCAGGCTCTCAAATATCTTTCTTTCTTAAATTAGTCAAATGATTACTTATTTCTCTGTGTGGGCAGAGTATTTGGTTTTTGTAGCTTTGGAAGGACACTGGGGGGAGGGGTTACTTTAGATTTGACTCCAAAGGACTTTTTATGTACCCTACTCAAGGTTTTCTCCTGCTGGTAACTATGTATATTTACAATTGTAATTGCATATTCTTTTGAGGGCTAATAACTTTGTTGAGTTGATTGTATGGTATTTGAGAATATAAATATATACTTGATTTTTGTTGCATTTAACAAATTTAGATTACCTAATAAGAATACCCAGATTTTGTAAGTATTTGTATTTTTATAGTGCTTTCAATCTGTTTACTTGTAGTCAGGATTGGGTGATGCAGTGTAGTGAAAAGAGCTTTAAAACAAAAGTTAGGTATTTTAATCCTATTTAAGGCTCCCATATTGATTGCTTCCATCCCTTGAGCAAGCTGTTTTGTTTCTTTTGCTCCAGCTTCCTGGTAAAGGTCATCTGAAAGACCCGACCTCTTTTTACAAATCCGTGTGAAAATTTGAAAAACAAACTAGTTAGTGCAAACTTGGAAGGTTTAACATTTTCAGATATGCCTTCTTAAAGGGGACATTTTGGGATTTCCTGGATAGTTTTCAGGAACGTAATATTTGGTTGGGAAGAGTGAATCCCGATGGATAACGTGAGTGATAGTTGAACTTCGGATAAAATAAAGTAGAACATAACCTGGGAGTGAGGAGCATGCAGACTTTCTTAGGGCATATGTTTTATGTCTGTAGTAATGCAGTTAAAGTTAGCATCAAAGTTTTGGGAAATTTTAGAATAGCTCCGACTGCAATGTTACAGATTGCCATTGTACGAAAACCTCACCAAGCAAAGCATCATAAAACTCAAGTGCTTTCCACTGTTTCTCAGTTTTTGCCCATTTCTCCCTATTTCTCTGTTGTTCTTCCTCATTTATATGAGCATTTCCTGACTTTGGACTCAATACTTTATTTTTAGCCTGTTCTTTCTTACAAAGTCTGCAGCATACTGTCTTGTGGTTCTCTGACAGTTCAGAGTTATAGTAGAAATACCTTGTTTGGGAAATTTTTGTATTTGATTTCCTACTGCAAATAATAAAATGCCAATTATTCTACATAATTATTATTTATAGCACTTAAAACAGTCTGGCATATAGGGGCCCAATCAATAGTCGATTGGTAGTAAACAAATGAAATCAATAACAAAATAGAATTCTCCAGTCAGTCAGTCATTCACAGGTACAACCCCTGACAAACTCTGATGGAATGCCTAGTATATACAACACACGGTTTAATGCCTCAAATACAAAAGTGTATGCCACTGCCCCAGCTTTTTAGGAACACACGGTGTAGTAAAAATTTTGTGGAACCCACAACTAAAGCTTAAAATATGTTCAAAATAATATTTTAGCATAGAGGATGCAGAGAATAATTCTGCCAAGGTTGGGGAGTGGGGGTAGTGAATATTCTGCATTGGGTGTGTAACAATTGAACTGAACCTTGAAAAAACAGGAAGAGCTTAGTAGGCAGAGAAGAAGGAATGGTTACTCACGTATAACTAATGTCCTGTGCATAAAGGATGGCATTTTGTAAAATAAGTATGAAATGTTCAGACATAAGAAGAAAAATTTGCCAGTTCATTGTTTATAAACTTTTTTTATTGTAACCATTTGGAATGGTTACAATGGAACCAGTTAAAAGATTGTAGTATGATTATTAAATTTGTTTATTAGAAATAAAACTTTGATGTGGCTGGGCTTTGGGAGTGGACTGGAAAATTAGAACCTTGGACAGATCCAGGCCGGGTGGGAGACTGTTGAAATATTATAGACCTGTCAGCAGAGATGGAAACAACTATTTTGAAGGTCAAATGAACAAGGATCACTGCCCCATTCAGTAAGAACATTGAGGGCAAAAGAGAAATTTCTTTTATTTTCAAAGAATGAAACTTCTAAATTTAAGGCAGACAAACTGAACCCGAGAAATTTTTGTTTTATGGGATTCATAGTTTATGAATAAATAAGCAAAAATGAATGTCGAGTTGAAAGAGATGGATTTTTAGGTGAACACATGTCTTCAGTTTATGCCCATGTTACATTAATAATAGAAGGGTGTATGAGAGGAAATAGGCCATAGCCTTTCATGTTAGAAAACATAAAACACTTAGTAGATATTTGTGAAGGATGCCTTCTTTATTTCAGAGCCATCCCAGATATCCCTCTCATAGTGCACAGATTTTTTTTTTCTTTATATCACTTCTGTCGGTATGACATTGTGTCCATGTGTCATGGTTTAATGGACACATATTGTCAACACCGAGCCTCATTCTTTTGTGCACTGGTGTTTCCCTGTGCCTTGAATAGTGTCTGGGACAAAGTCAGAGGCCAAGATGTAGTAATGCTGAACCAATGGTTGAATGGACAGATGACTTCTTTTCAAAACTATCTTTGGCTGAATTAATTGCTTGTGATTTTATAATGTACATTGGAAAGAGTCAAATAAAATCTGTTGATCATAAAACAGCATGTCTATGGCAGTGTTATATTGTGGAAGGGTCATAGCCTAGGGAGTTAGAGAGACCCTGTCTGATCTCCGGTTTATACCACCCGAGTCTCTGTTTCATCATCTGAATAGGACAATAAAACTTTATAGAGTAGTCGGGAGTATTTAAAAATAATCTATAGAGTAGGTTGCACAGGGCATTTCTACTCATTAAATGTTAATTTAATTTTTATTTATGTGGACTTCACTAAATGGCTTGACTCTGTGTTGTAGCAAGAATAATCAAAGATTAGCTCTCTTTTTTATTTTATTATTTTTAACGTGCTCTACTTCAAAAATGAAACAGTGTGGTTCTGTGAAATGATTTAAACAAAGTGAAATCAGAGACTATCTTTTGATACCATTTCTGTTTTCCTTTAGTAGTAATACAGATTATTTATTAACATACATTTATGTACCTAAAGAAAGGAAAATAACATTTGAAAAAAAATACCAAACACGGTTTGATCTTAGTTGTACATCTTACCCTCCTGCTCCCCACAGGGGAAACATCCTAAGTTTGACTGCAATCAAGACTGTCTTGTGAAACTAAAGAGAATGCCTGGTATTTGCTGAACTACTCTCATGTTTTGATTTGAGGAAATTACTATATCTTTGTTGTTATGTTACAGATCTACTTACGCTTCTTGGACTATGAGATGCAGAATTCAAACGAATGCAAAAGGAACTTTGTGGCTGTGTATGATGGCAGCAGCTCGGTGGGGGACCTGAAGGCAAAGTTCTGCAGCACCGTGGCCAATGACGTCATGCTCCGCACGGGTCTTGGGGTCATCCGCATGTGGGCCGATGAGGGCAGTCGGAACAGCCGATTTCAGATGCTCTTCACATCCTTTCAAGAACGTAAGATTCTCTGCACTTGACTGTTTGTCCTTCACGTAGGTCCTAGGCTGCAAGTCCCATCAGCTGCTAGTGGTGTTTCTCCATGCAGTGTGAGCACACTAGGGCGTGTCTAACTAGCTCTTAAAGTCACTGAGATTCCCTTTCCTTCATTTTGGCCCAGTGACAGGAGAGAGTTACATATCACATTTTGATTACCTGTTTCGGCACAGACATCATAGCCTTGTTTAAGACAGCTCCCTGTTCAACCGTGAAATGATGATTTTGTCTTTGGTTTAGCTCTTACGAAGCATATGGAACTTGAGCAGCTTCTGATGAAGTTTGAGTTTAAATCTTAAAAACCTGCATAAAAATATTTGGTAGGTTCTCTTTAGTAAGCTTCTCTTGCAGTCCCATTTATTGCAAATAGGTCTGAGAAAATAGAGTTCCAATTAAAGTAGGCAAAGAGAAAGAATTGCTTGGGAAGAGAGTAAATAGAAAAAGTTTCAGAAAATATTTAAAATGGTACAATGGGTGATATCCAGAGTTATGTGCAAAGCACAGCAATTTTAGAAAATTATGTTCTAACAAATAATGAGTCATATTAATAGATATATTTGGAATGTTCTTTAGAAGCCCTGAATAGCTCATGTTTAATAATTTTATACAAATGAAAAAAAAATCCTGAAAAATTCAGTTTTAAGAAATCAGCACCTTGTATTTTGAAACTATATATTTATTAATTAGAAAAAAAAATGTGTTCGAAACCTCCAGGATGGCTCAGTGATAGGCACAGCATGCAGTATTTTTTTCAGTTCATAAATATTAAATATACTGAACAATTCTTTTATATAGTGAAGAGTTTTGGCTTGAAATTCCTCTCTAATTACCCAGTTGGAGAGTTCTAGGACACCAGAAGTACCAAACGTCACTCAGTCTTTCTAAATCTTGATACCATCATGGAACGCATTATCGCGCCCAGTGTTATTGCAGATTTAAGCAGCATGTCGCCATCCTGTCCTCATTTCGGTAGTTGATCAAAATGATAGAGGTAGTGCATCTTTATTTCAGCAAGGTATTGGGCCAAAAAAAAAAAAAAAACACAAAAAAAACTCTTGTCGTTTTCTTGACTAGAGTAGGAAGAAATCCAGGCTACGAGATAGCACATTTCATGTCCTCACTGCTGATTGCTCCACAGTGGACGATAGCTCTTGACTTTGGTGAGAGGTTAAAGGTGCTTATTCCATATTCTTATCAGTCTTGGGTGATAACATGTTGAGAACTCCTGTCTAATTTAAATGCTACACATATAGAAGGGCTAGCTTATATGTTAGAGAATATTATCAGGTTTTTAAAAATAACACAAAAGTCTTCAATTTTTATCAAAACTGTACCATAAAAGGTAATAGGGAGAAAATGAAATTATATATCCTTAGGTTTCAAATATCAACTAAAACAACAGTAGTATAGAAGAACCCTGACTCCTAGGACTTCCTGAAGTTTCATTTCATTCAAACTCAGTATGCACCAGTACTTTTTTTTAAATAATTGACAAAAAATATCTTAGCAGTATTAAATGATATTAAGGAAAGTGAAATAAACAACTCAAAGGAGATAGTCTCATGGGAAGCTACACTGGTCAAACTGCAGATTACATAATCTGTTCTTTCCTGGGTTTTATGAATGAGAAGGAGAGAAATCAATTGGAAAAGGCTGAGCAGGATGCAGAAGCAACTAAAGACATGAGACCAGGCCAAAGGAGAAGTGTTTATCTTAGAGATTTTGTTGTTGTTGTTCAAAATGTGATAACTACCTTAGACTTACGTTGGTGATATGGATTAATGTCTGAAAGCTGAGATTTGTTTGTTAAATTATAGGGAAACGTCTGAGTGAAATTTAGGAAAAAACATGTCCAGCTCATAGGAACTGTGATTTTCCAAAAATGAATGGATGCCCCATAGAGGATATAGGCTCTGGATGGAGAGTGGTCAGTCTGAAAATGGATCATCAAGTGGCGTGGATGGTGGAGGCAATGTCTGTGTTTTGTACAGAAAGGACTGGTAAACTTTGAAGGTCCCATTCAACTCTAACAGTGATTGAGTTCTAGGAGTCTTTTTATTTATTTATTTGTTTGTTTGTTTATTTTTAAATTTTATTTTATTATGTTATGTTAATCACCATACATTACATCATTAGTTATTGAGGTAGTATTCCATGATTCATTGTTTGCATATAACACCCAGTGCTCTATGAGTCTTTTTAAAATTCTGCTTATGCAAGAAATGGTGAATTATATCATACTGTGCAAATGCCATTAGAAATATTTCTATCTGAGCTAAAAGATAGAGTTTTCATGCATATACATAAAGGATCTCTAGAAGTCCTTCAAGTGGGTGGACTTTTCAATGTTGAATTCAGAAAAAAACATGACATTCTTCCTCCGTAGGAGGAAATCACCCCCATCCTTTATGTTCCTGCGCAATGAGATGGATTATCACTCTCATTTCAATGATAAGTATTACTATAACGTTCTCTGTGATTATCTCATAAATTTTACAATAAGCTTCAATTAGAACAAATTTATCTGCTGTGTCATGTTGCCTATGTAGCTTTTTGACATTCTGCTTTTTCTTGCTTTTGGGGGAAGCTAAAACTGGGTGGAATCTACCATTATCTATGCATAAAATCAAAGTCATTGTGTGATGAAGTATGTGGGGATGGACTAAGTCTTTCTGTATTGAAATCAAAGTATCCCAGATATGAGATGATAATTCCAAAACAACAAGAACTGAACTTCAATCAGTGCTACTACTCAGAAATGAGTGGTTATGTCATTTTAAGGGCTCTTAATGAAGAAATAAAGAAATTCTATTTAGGGAGTTTCAAGTTCCCCAAATGGTATTGTTTTATTCGATACTGGTGGCTAAGAGAGTATTTTTCATTACATTTTTGTTTTTCTTGATGATGATAGGTATAAAGTTTATATAATATATATTATATACTGGGGCACCTGGGTGGCTTCGTTGTTAAGCATCTGCCTTCGGCTCGGGTCGTGATCCCAGGGTCCTGGGATTGAGCCCCACATCGGGCTCCCTGCTCAGCGAGAAGTCTGCTTCTCCCTCTCCCACTCCCCCGCCTTGTGTTTCTTCTCTCACTTTGTCTCTCTCTGTCAAATAAATAAATAAAATCTTTAAAATACATATATATATAATATATGTATATGTAGTTTATGTATAATATAATTATATAATACGTATATAATATTCATATTTAATGTATATTTCCCTAATCTTACTCAATACACACCCACACACATATGGAGTAAAGATTAGAAGTGTAAAATCAATGACCAGCTTTGTCTTACTCAAGTAAGAAGGAACCACCTTGCTGTTTTTCTTGGTTCCTTGATATTTTTCTTGGTTCTCAACACTTATTAGGTAATATCCCCAGCCCAGTGTTGAGAAGTGCTTATAGCATATTCAATAATATTCTAACAGCTATCAAAAGGTCTTGTATTGGGACCATATGATGTAATTTTTTGAGTAAAATTGACACCCAATGTTACATTAGTTTCAGGTGTACAACTTAGTGATTTGATAAGCTTGCCCATGATGCTGTGTTCACCACAAGTGCAGCTGCCATCTGTCCCATTACATCCCTGTTATAGTATCACTGACTATATTCCTTATGCTGTGCCCCTTATTCTGTGATGCATTCATTCCATAACTGGAAACCTGTATCTCCCACCCTCTTCGCCCATTTTGCCCAGCCCCCACCCCCTCCCTATCCATTTATTCTTTGTATTTATAGGTCTGATTCTGCTTTATGTTTGTCATATTTTTAGGTGTTAAAGGAGAGCTTAGGGACCATCTATTTCAGTCCCAAACATTTTGAGAATTGAAACAGAATAAGAAAAGATCCAGGAAGTTAACTGAATTTCCCTGCACACCCTCAACTCCATGCTTAGTGATTGAACACTACTGTGGCAAGGATTAAAGACCAGACTTCTAAGCTCATAAGTTCTCTTGTGGATAACTTTGTCACTTGTAAGGAATGGACAGAGCTCCCATTTTCTAAAGGTGATGATGATAAAGATGGTGATAAAAATAGGTAGCACTTACACATCACTCATATAGCTCAGATATGTCAGCACGGGTTTATATGCTTTACAAACTGAAATTTGATCCTTCTGTCCTATCTGTTGCACCTTATGTCTACATGTTATACGAACATGCTATGATCACACAGTACATGAACATGCTATGATCATACAGTACATGAAACTCATCTGGAGACCAATGGAAGCAAATAGAAATATATTTTCAAATCATCATATTTTTGCATATGTATCTGAATAAATTACAGCAAAGGGAAAGAATATGTAGAGGGAGAGGAGAGAGAGAATCTCAAGTAGACTCCCTGCTGAACATGGAGCCTGATGTGGGGCTCGATTCCACGACTATGAGATCATGACCTGAGCTGAAATCAAGAGTCGGTTGCTTAACTGACTGTGCCACCAGGAGCCCCTGAATCACTTTTTATAAGTCATTGATTTTGCTCTAAAGAATCACTCAATTTTTTAGAAATTTGATTATAGTTAGTATAATTTCAATATTAAACATACTTAATATATGAAAATTCATAACCAATTATGATGGAACTGTATAATATACATAAAGGAAATATTAGTGAAATGTGTTCAAATTGAGCTGCCTGCCAAACTTTTTGAGCTTTTTCTGTGTGACATACATTTGCAAAAACTAGAATGGATGAATAAATAAGTAATATCTAGTTTTGACTTCTGAAATTCTGTCTTTAGCTGCTCTTCTTTCATTTAGAGGTTTTGCACAATAAAATCTTAATCACTTAATACTTATTTAATGAATAGCATATTTATATTAAAAACAGACACATAAAGGGATGCGTGGGTGGCTCAGTTTGGTTAAATGGCTGCCTTCGGCTCAGGTCATGATCCTGGGGTCCTGGGATCAAGTCCCGCATCGGGCTCCTTGCTCAGCGGGGAG